TGGTCAAGGGTGAAAAGTCAAAAGGGCAGGCTGCTGTCCCTGGCCCCAATCACCAGGTATTGTCTTCACACGAATGATAACTGGCAATGTCAGGAGCAGAGCCAGCACCCAGGGCCCAATGATCACCTTCTTGGCCATGCTCACAGCGCGATGGTTCTGGGACCAAACTGGATGTAAGACACAAACACAGCAGTCCAGGGCAACAAGGGAGATCAGGAAGACACTTCCAAACAAGTTGATGTCCGCTATAGTATAAATGAATTTGCATAGGATCCAACCTAAAGGCCAGTGTCTTCCCATGGCCTTCGATGCCATGGGGAATGGCAAAGTGGAGGTGAAACAGAAGTCAGCCATGGCCAGGTTCAGGTAACTGATGGTGGTGACTGTGTGCGTCATCCGGAACCCAGCCACCCAGATCACAAGCCCGTTGCCCAGGACCCCGAGGACAAAGGTGACTGCAAATACCAGATAAGAGAAGATACCCAGGACGAGATAGGCATCTCTGGAGGTTTCCCTCCAGAGATGTTCATGGGGAGAGAGGAATTGGTCTCCATCTTGCCCACTCCTGAAATAGCTCGGCTGTGGTCATTCCTCAGTTGTGAACCTCCACACCGTATCCCCACCGCCTTATTTCTATCCCGGCCAGTTTTCCCACTCATAGCTTTCTCACATTCCCCTAGAGCTTCCGCTGCAGCCAGAATATCCTCATCCCTGTCCCTTACACAGGCCCACATCTACACATTGGCAATATTTTATTGTACCTGTTGGGCAAGACTACATCATTTGTTTGTTTGTTTGTTTTTGTTTTGAGACGGAAGCAAATGAATTTGCACAGGAGCAAGTACAGTGGTGGGAAGAATCAGAGGGAAGCAATGAAAGGTAGAGAAGAAATCCTGAGGGATGGAGACCAGAAACACAGAGAGAGGTAAGGGAGACGGGGAAGTTGAGACAGTGGTGGGACAGCGCGTCCACACCCATGCACGCCACCAAGATTAACCCCGTAATCCTCTGATCTTGTGGAAGCTCATTTGTAGTCTTGCAGCCCAAAGAGATCACGGTTTTTCTGAAATATTAAGCATCATTCCAAAGGTATCAGAGATATATGGAGAGATATGGTAAGACAGTTAGAGAGACAGAAATAATGACACTGATCCTAAAAGCATTATTCCCAAGGCCTTGTTTCATTAAGGCTGTTCTTTCTTTCTTTCTTTCTTCTTTTTTTCTTTTCTTTTCTTTTTTTTTTTTTTTTTTTTAAGAGATTGTGTCTTGCTGTGGTGGTGGCCCAGGCACATCTCAAACTCCTAGGCTTAGTGATCCTCCTGCCTCAGCCTCCCCAAACACTGGGATTACAGGTGTGAGCCACCGTGCCTGGCTACGGCTGCCGTTTTTAATTCTAAGTTATTTACAATTTAAAATTACACCTAACAATGGCTTAGACCAGGGGTGTCCAATCTTTTGCCTTCCCTGGGCCACATTGGAAGAAGAATTGTCTTGAGCCACACATAAAATACACTAACACTAACGATAGCTGATGAGCTAAAAAAAAAAAAATCCCCCCAAATCTCGTAATGTTTTAAGAAAGTTTATGAATTTGTGTTGGGCCCCATTCAAAGCCATCCTGGGCCATGGGTTGGACAGCATGGCTTAGAACAAAGACAAAATTTATGGTTTACTTTACAAGGATTTTGCAAGAGGGTAACACTAGGTTAGGTTATATCTGGCAATATCATCAAGAACTATATTTATTTTAATCTTTTCTCTTTATTATCCCTAATACAGTTTCTTTTATTCCTGGGGATTGCCACTTCATGGCCCCAAGAAAGCTACTATAGCTCCTGACTTCACACTACAGCAGGGGTCCCCAACCCCCGGGGCCACAGACCAATACACAGACCAATACTGGTCTGTGGCCTGTTAGGAACTGGGCTTCACAGCAGGTGATTGGCGGGCAAACAAGAAAAGCTTCATCTGTATTTACAGCCACTCTCCGTTGCTGGCATTACTGCCTGAGCTCTGCCTCCTGTCAGATTGGTGGCCGCGTGAGAGTCTCATAGTAGCGTGAACCCTACTGTGAAGTGCGCATGTGAGAGATCTAGGTTGTGCACTCCTTATGAGAATCTAATGCCTGATGATCTGTCACTGTCTCCCGTCACCCCCAGAAGGAACCATCTACCTGCAGGAAAACAAGGGCTCCCACTGACTTTACATAATGGTGAGTTGTATAATTATTTAATTATATATTACAATGTGATAATAATAATAGAAATAAAGTCTACAGTAAACATAATGTACTTGAATCATCCTGAAAGCATCCACCCCGCTGCCCCGGAATCCATGGAAAAATTGTTTTCTATGAAACTGGTCCTTGGGGCCAAAAAGGTTGGGGACTGTTGCAATATAGCATCCCATGCCAACAGGATGAGGATAAAATGGAGAGTCACTGAAGATCTTCTCTTTTTTTTTTCTTTCTTTCTTTTTTGAGATGGAGTTTCACTCTGTCACCCAGGCTGGAGTGCTGTGGCCCAATCTCGGCTCACTGCAACCTCAGCCGCCTGGGTTCAAGCAATTCTCCTGCCTCAGCCCCCCGCAGTAGCTGGGATTGCAGGCACATGCCATCACACCCAGCTAATTTTTTGTATTTTTTTGTATTTTTAGTAGAGATGGGGTTTCACCATGTTAGCCAGGATGGTCTTGATCTCCTGAACTCATGATCCAGCCACCTCGGCCTCCCAAAACGCTGGGATTACAGGCGTGAGCCACCACGCCCAGCCAAAGATCTTTCATCAGAAGTGTGATATGCTCATTTGTACTTTATAAACGTTTGTGTTATATTATGTCCCCTCTCATCTGGAACCTGGCTAGGATTAGAACTAATTTGACCAAAGAATGTGGTAGAAATGACACCACATAGCTTTAAAGCGTAGGTCAAAAAATGCTATGAAGCATTTTCTGGTTCTCCTCAGATACGTATTCTGAAAGAAGGCAGCCATCGTGCATGGACTCTGATTCCCCTGAGGCCGCCATGCTGGAGAGGCTGCCTGTAGGCACTTGGTACAGTCCCAGCCTAGAACTGAAACCCAATTCTTATTCAGACTCAGAATCTACCTCTTTCCAAAAATGTGTCTTATAATAAACGTCAAACTTATCACTGAAAACATCCTCCCTAGCAATTTAGTGTGAAAAGAGAAAATTACTTATCTCTTCCTCTTAGACTCTTGTTTTTCTGGCTCTCCATCTTTCATCTTTATATCCCTTGGATTTGAACAAGTTTCTGGACCACTCTGATAATACTGAAGACCTCAGAAAGAGCCTATCTTCTTAGATGATGTCCCACAAATTCTCCCTCTAGGAGCAGAAGTTTAGGGGGTTAATCTTGGTGATGGCATGGGGTGAAGGGTGTCTCTCATTCACCTCTCTCCATGCTCCTGGTTACTGCTCCTTTTAGCACCATTTTGGTATAATAATGACTATATTTGGTCTTGTCCTTGGTTCCTGGCACAAGGTTCGTAAACCCTTGGAGTTTCCTGAGTATAGGAGTGTCTTTGGTTATTCATAAAGAGCACTTTTTTTTTTTTTTTTGAGACAGTCTCCTTCTAGTGCCCAGGCTAGAGTGCAGCGGTGTAATCTCGGCTCACTGCAACCTCCACCTCCTGGGTTCAGGCAATTCTCCTGCCTCAACCTCCCGAGTAGCTGGGACTACAGACACACACCACCACACCTGGCTAGTTTTTTTGTATTTTTGGTAGAGATGGGGCTTTACCATGTTGGCCAGGCTGGTCTCAAACTTCTGACCTCGTGATCTGCCCGCCTCAGCCCCCCAAAGTGCTGGGATTACAGGCGTGAGCCACCAGGCCTGGCCAAGAGCACTTTTTGATCAGAGCTGAGTATATGTCAATGAGATGACTTAATGTGGGGCCATCCATATGGGCTTAGGATGGGGTTGACCAACAGAAAGGCCAAGTGATTAGAAGGTTGGAGCTTTCAGCCCCACCCACCAGCATCCTGGAAGAGAAGGCAGAGACTGGAAACTGAACTCTATAAAAAGTCTTGAATAATGAGATTTGATGGGCTTCCATGTTGGTGAATACTCAGATATGCCAGGAGGGTGGTTCCCTGGAAAGTATGGAAGCCCCATGCATCACCACACCCCTTCCCTCGCTATATACCTGCACTATGCATCTCTTCCATTGGACTGTTTTTGAGTTGTATCCTTCATAACAAACTAGTAAATGTAGGTAATGTGCCTTCTTCTTTCCTTTTTTTTTTTTTTTGAGATTGAGATGGAGTCTTGCTCTGTCACCCAGGCTGGAGTGCAGTGGCATGATCTTGGCTCACTGTAACCTCCGCCTCCCAGGTTCAAGTGATTCTACTGCCTCAGCCTCCCAAATAGTTGGGATTACAGGCATGAGCCACAGCGCCCGGCCAGTAATGTGCCTTCTTAAGCCATTCTAACAAATTATCAAAATAGAGGAAGGGATTATAAACATTCCCCCAACCCCAATTTATGCCCAGTCAGTCAGAAGTACAGGTGGCCATCCAGGACTTGGATTGGTGTCCAAAGTCAGGACAGTCTTGGGAGAGTGAGCCCTTTAACTTGTGGAATCTGACACTAACGCCAAGTAAAGACTGTCAGAACTGAATTGAATTGTGAGATACCCAGTGGTGACCCCAGATAACTGTAGAATTGCTTAATGTGGGAAAGACCCATACATCAGAACGATTGCATAAGTAGAGAACTGAGTTTTACTTAGCCATATTTGTTCTTTATTGTGTGGCTGTAACGCTTCTCACTTCAGTAATTGTTTCTTTTGTTTTCATGAAACTCTGAAGAAGAAAGGGCTGGACATTCAGATTCCTTGGGCTTTGATATTTGGAAGCATGATCTCCAGTCTCCCACAGAAGGCTAGAGGTGAAGGAAAATTCAGACACAGAGATTTCTAAGAAGAGTCTGCTGACAACATGTCCAAGGTGTCTTCTGAAAATTATAAGACATCCTGAGTTTCGGCTAGGGGATTGGCTCTAGCTCCATTGTCCCTCCCCCTGTCCTTCAATAAAGTCTCTGCAAAAGCCCTTAGAGCCTGTGTTGCTCCACAGGAAGCCAAGAAACAGAAACAGGAAAAGGAGCTTAGCTGCTGGTAAGTTGGGGTCTGACAATTTAAAATTTATCGTTGGAACACCTGCTGTATGACAGATGCCTCCTAAATTCTAGAGTAGTGCTCTAATGGAGTATCCACTTGCCACATGTGGCTTTTGAGCTCTCATGTTTCTTTCTTGATCTGAAATGTGCTTAAGTGTAAAATATACTTAGTATAGTTTTTTTGGGTTTTTTGGTTCTGTTTTGTTTTGTTTTTGAGACAACATCTCGCTCTGTCGCCCAGGCTGGAGTGCAGTGGTGTGACCTCGGCTCACTGCAACCTCCCCTTCCTGGATTCAAGCGATTCTCCTGCCTCAGCCTCTCAGGTAGCTAGGCCTACAGGCGTGCACCACCATGCCCGGCTAATTTTTTGTGTTTTTAGTAGAGACAGGATTTCAGTGTTAGCCAGGATGGTCTCAATCTCCTGACTGTGTGATCCGCCCACCTTGGCCTCCCAAAGGGCTGGAATTACAGGTGTGAGCCACCGCAGTTGGCTACTTAGTGTAGTTTAATCATTAGTATGATAAAAACGATACAACTTATTTCATTAATAACTTTTATGTTGGTTATGTGTTCCAATGATATTATTTTTGATTTGTGGGTTTAATCAAATCTATTATTACAATTAATTTCTCCCAGTGATTTTATTTTTTTAACATGGCGACTAGAAAGTTGTGAATCACATGTGTGGCTGGCATTTAGGGACTGCATTACCACATCTCTACTAAAAATACAAAAAATACTAAAAATACAGAAGCCCTGAGATGACAATGAGCATGTTCAAGGAATGAGAGCCCGCTGTGGGTGGAGCACAGTGTGTCCGGTGAGAGTGCCAAGATGAGGTCTGAGGGATGCACAGGGAAGATCCAGGGGTGCTTCAGGGAGCTTGATAAAGATAAGTTAGAAGTCTGTTTAGCCATTGGAAGGTGTTAAAAATAACATCACCAGCTGGGCGCTATGGCTCATGCCTATAATACCAGCAATTTTGGAGGCCAAGACAGGCATATCGTGAGGTCAAGAGATCAAGACCATCCTGGCCAACATGGTGAAACCCTGTCTCTACTAAAGATACAAAGATCAGCTGAGCATGGTGGCGCGCAGCTGTTCCCAGCTACTGGGGAGGCTGAGGCAGGAGAATCGCTTGAACTTGGGAGGCGGAGGTTGCAATGAGCCAAGATTGCGCCACTGCACTCCACTCTGAGTGACAGAGCGAGACTCCATCTCAAAAATAAAATAACATCACCATCTAATTAGACCTTTTAAAAGCTCATTTGGTTTTCTTCTGGAGATTGGATTGTAGGGCAGGAGAAAGCAGGACCAGGAACAAGCTATTTGCAAGGTTGGTGCAAACATCCATGTCTGACAGGACCGTGGACATGGGTACTGGAGACGGAGATGGCTCTGGCTGTGTATTCAGCAGGTTCTATAGACAGAATAAATAGGACTTGGATGGGATTGTGGTGAGAGAAAGGGAAATGAAAGATTAGTTCTAGACTGGAAGCTTTAACAACCAAATGTTTAAACTCAAATAGACACAAAATATTGGAAGAGTGGCAGGTTTGGGAGGATGAGACAATTAACCATTTGGTTGAGCCACATTAGGTCTGGAGTGTCTATGGGACTCCCATGGGGAGAGGTTATATCAGACTGGAGCACTAGGGTAAGGCCAAGGCTGATAAAATAGATGAGAAGACAGCATGATATTTTAAGCCCTGAGACTGGATAACATCACCTGTGGAAAGACTATATAGAGATAAGAGAGGTGGGGAACAAGTAAAAGCCGTGGGACTCTCCTAAATTTAGAGTCAAATTTAGAGCAGAAAATACTAGCAAAGGGGACTGAAAAGAAGTGGTCATTAGAACTTTAAAGGCAAGTGAAAGTGTGTGTGTGTGTACATGTATCATCTCATGGCACAGGAAAAAGTGTAATTTAAGGAGAAAGAAGAGATCCAATGGGAAGAAGAGATCCAATGGGTCCTATATCACTAAGGCACTGAGATAAGAACCAATATGTATTTGCACCCACTGGATTTGCAGCCTTGAGATCATAAGCATTCTCAAGAAAATGTACCAGGTAGGTGCTAAGGACTGGAGTCAATATGGACTGGATTGAGGAGAAAAGATGAGGCAAGGAATCAAAGGGAGCAAATACAGATGACTCCTTCCAAAATCTGGGTGTAAATTCTTTTCACAGAAAGAATTCTCTTAGGAGAAGTAGGGTTAACACCGGAAAGGAATATAGTCTAAGGATTTTTTTGGTTTTTGTTGTTGTTGTTGCTTGGGTTTTTTGTTTGTTTTGTTGTTGTTTGTTTGTTTTTGAGACAGAGTCTCTGTCGCAGACTGGAGTCAGTGGTGAGATCTCAGTTCATTGCAACCTCCGCCTCCCAAGGTTCAAGAGGTCTTCATGCCTCAGCCTCCCGGGTAACTGGAATTACAGGCACATGCTACCACACCCAGCTAATTTTTGTATTTTTAGTAGAGACGGGGTTTCACCATGTTAGGCAGGCTGGTCTCAAACTCTTGGCCTCAAGTGATCCACTCACCTCAGCCTCCCTAAGTGTTGGGATTACAGGCATGAGCCACCACCCCTGGCCAAGGATGGCTTCTTTTTAAAGGGAGGGGATATGATGACATTTATGTAATAGTGAGAATGATCTAGCAGAAATAAAATAAGGGTTTGTTTTTGGCAGAAAACAGAAGGACAAATGCAGGAGGAAAGTTAGTGGGAAGGTGAGAGGGCATCCCGAGCCAATGTAGGGAGGGAAATTATTGGAAAGAATAAGACGTCTTGATTCACAGTGACAGGGGCAGGTAGACTGAGGATTAGGGGAGGAAAGGCTGAGAATTTCACATCTAGTTGTTACCATTTTCTCATTATAATGTCAGTCAAGGGCATCTGCTGAGAGTGGGAAAAACAGATTAAATAAGGTACTTTTTGGAGAAAGCAGGGTTGAAATCATTAAGGTGTGGGATAGCAAGTGCATGAAGAAGTTGAGTAACCTAATGAGGAACTGCTGAGTTCTCATGTGAAATCTGTGGTCATGAATTCGGTTGCAACTCTCAATAATTGTGACATTGAGCAAGTCATTTCCCCTCTCCGAGCTGTACTTTCCTACCTATTACGCAAGGATGGCACTTTTCCCAAAGCAAGGATGTTGTAATAAGAGATGATAAAATATATAGCACCTGGCACATATTGAGGACTCACCAAATGGCAGCCCTCATAATCAGTGTAGGTATCATTTGTGGTTCACAGTTCTCCTCACATTACAACGAGGGTGGACCCAAAACTTTGCAACTTTTGCCTTGTTAACCTGACCCCACCTGGCATTGCACAATCATCCTTTCTTGTTGTATCTTTTTTTTTTTTTTTTTTGAGATGGAGTTTCACACTTTTACCGAGGCTGGAGTGCAGTGGCACAATCTCAGCTCACTCCAACCTCTGTCTCCCACACTCAAGTGGTTCTCCTGCCTCAGCCTCCTGAGTAGCTGCGATTACAGGCACCCGCCACCATGCCCAGCTAACTTTTCTATTTTTAGTAGAGATGGGGTTTTACCACGTTGGCCAGGCTGGTCCCCAACTCCTGGCCTCAAGTGATCCACCTGTCTTGGCTTCCCAAAGTGCTGGGATTACAGACATGAGTCACTATGCCTGGCCTGTATCAACATTTTAAAATGAATTTGATATTATGGATAAATTATGTCTTCTAAGTGCCTTGTAGAATGTTCAGAGGGTGGGTAGAGAAAATCTGAGTCTGTTGAGGGACAATGGGGTGGGAGAGGGTTAACAGCTCAATTCGGTTGTACTCAATCTGGGTGAGCTCCAATTCCAGCTCTACTTCTTTCTACCTGGGAACGCTGAACAATTAATGTAGCCAGTATAAGGCTTAACTTCCTCGTCTGTACAATGGTTATAATAATTACTAGGTTGGTGCAAAAGTAATTGCAGTTTTTGCTATTATTTTCAATGGCAAAAACTGCAGTTACCTTTGCACCAAACTAACATCACTAAGATTAGTCAACATTCACCACGTCTCAGGATGTGCTCAGTGCTTACACATATTAACGCAGCCCATCCTCAGATCCTGTGAGAGGAGTTGTGAGGGTTAAAGGAGAAGCTCTTGGCACGTGGATAACGTTCGTAAGTAGAAGCTGCTATTGCTCTGAGCATCGTCCTTGTCCTGATCGTGAGCTTCATAATGGATTATGCCCCATAACACGGCACACAACCTGGTGAGGGCCAAGCATTCCCATTTGTCACAGACTTACTCAGTCTAGGCTAAAAGATTTCCATGTCTATCCTCACTTAACCCTCACCTGAAAGTTAGACTTCACCATAAAATTGTCCTCTTTCCACAGAGCAGAAAACTGAGGCTCAAAGAGTTATCACTGACCAGGAACTCATAGTGAAGAGATAGCATAGATGAGATTAGAATAGAGATCTAGCTGACTCCAGAGCCCAGTCTTCTTTATAACAGTGACTCTCAATTGAGGGTGATTTTGCCTCTGAGGGGAACTTTGACAATGTTTATAGAACCTGTTGATCGTCATTCCTGAAGAGGGAGTTGCTACCGGTATCTGCAAAAGATAGAGGCCAGGGGTGCTGCCAAACATCTTACTCTGTAGAGAACAGTCCCTCACAGCAAAGAATTACCCAGCCCCAAAAGTCAATGGTGCCGAGGTTGAGAAACCCTCAGTTACATTAAACAATGTCCCATGGAAGACCTCAGTGAAAGTGACTGGTAGCGGCAGGAAGAAAATGAAGAAATGAGTGAAAGAAAGAGGGTTGGCTGGACACGGTGGCTCATCCCTGTAATCCCAGCACTTTGAGAGTGTGAGGCAGGCAGATCACGAGGTCAGGAGTTCGAGACCAGCCTGACCAACATGGTGAAACCCCGTTTCTACTAAAAACACAAAAATTAGCTGGGTGTGGTGGCACACACCTGTAATCTCAGCTACTCAGGAGGCTGAGGCAGGAGAATCCCTTGAACCCGGGAGGCAGAGGTTTCAGTGAGCCAAGATTGCGCCACTGCACTCCAGCCCGGGTGACAGAGCGAGACTCTGTTTTGAAAAAAAAAAAGAGGGCTAAAAATCATCAGACTGGGGCATGGCCCTATCCTAGTAATCTTGGGGGAACCCCTTTCAAAGGCAGGACTTCAGTATACAAAGGCAGTGGCTCTGGAGTTGTTCATCTTGGTTTGCAAATCTTGCTGCCTCCACTGACTGGCTGGGCACGACGCTGAATAAACTACGGAATTCCCTGGGTCGTGAACTCCTCTCAGTGTGACGGCTACTTCACAGTGTTATTATGAGTGTTAGATGTGAACAAGTGCTAGGGAATTGCTGCTTCTCTTAAAGATGCTGAATAGCTCAGTCTGAGATGATTCTCAAATTCTCATGGCCATAACAAATCATCCTTTTACACAGATTCTAGAGTGGGATTTAAGAATATGTATATTTTTTCCATTTTTATTATAAGTTCAGGGGTATATGTGCAGGTTTGTTATGTAAGTAAACTTGTATCCTGGTGGTTTATTGCACAGATTATTTCATCACCGAGGTATTAAGCCTAATATCCACTAGTTATTTTTCCCCATCCTCTCCCTCCTCCCACCCTCCACCTTCTGGTAGGCTCCAACGTTCCCCTCTTTGTGTCCATGTGTTCTCATCATTTACCTCCCACTTGTAAGTAAGAACATGTGGTATTTGGTTTTCTGTTCCTGCATTAGTTAGCTAAGAATAAAGAATACAATTTTAACAGGCAGCCTGGATGTCTCTGATAAAGTCCACACACCACAGCATAAGAAAATGTGCTCAAGTGGCAAGGAACTTTGTGTTGAATCTGAACAAAAATTACAGATGTGACCTGGACCAGAGGCGGGGACTACATTTTTTGGATTTTTGTTCTTAAAAGAAAAAGAAACGAGATCTGAGAAGCCCTGCAGGTTATATTCTTACAATGTTATTGTCCACAATTTAGTCACGTGTCCACTGCTAAGGCAATACCTTGCAAGGTAAAAGGGATTCTAGTTAGTGCTAATTAGACTAGTCAAGATTTACTCCCAACACAGAGAAAGGACACCTTCTCTGCAGGGTGAGTAACTAAACACAATTGCCAGTTTTTGAGCAGAGAAGAATGGGGAACAGTTGCTGGGTGGGCAACCAGCAATATCTGTCAAAAGTAAGGGTTTCGAAGTCAGGCCACGCTGAACTGAAGTCCTTAATCTATTATCTACTAGCTAAGTGACCTTCAGCACATTTCACAATTACCCTGAGCATCGATGTATTCTAATGAAAACTAGAAGTAATGAATATTACAGAGCTATTACATAGGCCGAACTGGATCCCATATGTAGTAATTAACACAATGCATATTCCCTAATAAGAATTTTAGAAGTATTAACACAGCTTATTATTCTCATAGTCTTTATCCCACAGACACCAAAGCTATACAAACGGGTACTAATTATTTGCATTCCAAACAGAGAAGAGCTCCACATCAAGTGGGGACAGGGAAAAGCAGGGGTAGACAGCAGAGATGGGACCCTCTTTGCTGACTTCCTCTAGTTCAGAGTCCTCAGGATGTACCATACTACTACATATACCCAGTGACTGCTCAAAATCATCTTCAACAATAACCTCAAGCCAAACCCTCAAATTTCATCTTGGGTACTAGCCAAACAATAGATCCAGGGTTCTCACAGGTGAGGGACAGGAGCTGGGAGACTGGAAGAACCTGGGGCTTAAAGATATGTTGCAAAGCTTGCCAGCATGTTTGCATTGGGTGATGGGGGACGCAGATGTGAACCTGCTGACTGAGACTTGTGCCTTTCTCACAACGCTGAAGCTGCCTCTGCTTAATTCTCCATTGTCCATACAATGTAAGATCAGCGCTTCTGCTAGTGGACACAGCCTTGTAACCCTCTTGATGAACTGATCAGCCTGATAAGTAAAATGCATATTGATAATGATGGGACTATGGAGGACTATCCCTTCCCAAAGAAACATCCAAGAGAATGCCAACTCTATAGCACCATTGTCAGCAAGGCTTAGTAGATAGAGTGGGTCTCCTGGCAGGAGTGTGCGCTTTAGTGAAAGTTGATGTGAGCTATGAATACAGATGCTGTAAGATGGTTCCACAGCTCAGAAATGGCCATTGTTGGAATGTTTCAGGTGCCGGCAAGATGGAAACGAACTTCTCTACTCCTCTGAATGGAAGTGAAGAAGTTTCCCATGAGTCTGCTGGCTATGCTGTTCTGCGGATCCTCTCATTGGTGGTGGTTGGGGTCACCTTTGTCCTCGGGATCCTGGGCAATGGGCTTGTGATCTGGGTGGCTGGATTCCGGATGACACGCACAGTCACCACCATCTGTTACCTGAACCTGGCCTTGGCTGACTTTTCTTTCACTGCCACGCTACCGTTCCTGATGGTCTCCACGGCCATGGAAGAAAAATGGCCTTTTGGCTGGTTCCTGTGTAAGCTGATTCACATCGTGGTGGACATCAACCTCTTTGGGAGTGTCTTCTTGATTGCTTTCATTGCACTGGACCGATGCATTTGTGTCCTGTATCCAGTCTGGGCCCAGAACCACCGCACCGTGAATCTGGCCATGAAGGTGATCATGGGACCTTGGATTCTTGCCCTAGTCCTTACCTTGCAAATTTTCCTCTTTTTGACTACAGCGACTCTTCCAAACGGGGACACATACTGTACTTTCAACTTTGTGTCCTGGGCTAATACCCGTGAGGAGAGGTTAAAGGTGGCCATTACCATCCTGACAGCCAGGGGGATTATCCGGTTTGTTATTGGCTTTAGTATGCCCATGTCCATTGTTGTCATCTGCTATGGGCTCATTGCAGCCAAGATGCATAAAAAGGGCATGATTAAATCCAGCCGTCCCTTACGGGTCCTCACTGCTGTGGTGGCTTCTTTCTTCATCTGTTGGTTCCCCTTTCAACTGGTTGCCCTTCTGGGCACAGTCTGGCTCAAAGAGATGTTGTTCTTTGGCAAATACAAAATCCTTGAAGTCCTGAATAACCCAGCGAGTGCTCTGGCCTATTTCAACAGCTGCCTCAACCCCATGCTCTATGTCTTTGTGGGTCAGGACTTCCGAGAGAGACTGATCCACTCCCTACCCACTAGTCTGGAGAGGGCCCTGTCTGAGGACTCAGCCCCAACCATTGACACGGCTACCAATTCTACTTCACCTTCTGCAGAGGTTGAGTTACAGACAATGTGAGGATGGAGTCAGGGATCTTTTGAGTTCTGTCTCATCCTACCTTAATGCCAGTTCCAGCCTCATCTACTCTTGAGTCATATTGAGGCACTGAAGGATGAGCAGCTCAGGTATTTATTCAGGAAAAATGCTGTTGCGTCCCTGATTTGGAGCTAAGAAATAGACAGTCCGTCTACTATAATATTAGTATTATTTTTGGTTTTTGGACCTCTGCCTGTACTCCGGGGTAAGTGGAGATGGAAAACATGAGAAGAGAAAGAATGATGGAGATTTGTAAGAGTTAGATAAGATAGCGTATAATAAGGGGAAGACTTTAAAGTAAAACATTTATACCATAAAGTAAAATGTTTGCTGTAGGGTTTTTTAATAGCTATTTCAAAAAATCAAACTATGGAAGTTTTCTTCTATTTTTAGTTTGCAAAGAGTTTTCTGTTTTTCTTATATCATGAATAGAGGTTGCATTTTATCAAATGCATTTTCTACATATATTACGATGATCATATTATTATTCTTTCATGTAAATCATTATAAATTATGTTCATTAAGTTCTGAATGTTAAAGTACTCTTGAATTCCTGGAATAAACCACACTTAGTCCTGATGTACTTTAAATATTTATATCTCACAAGAGTTGGTTAGAATTTCTGTGTTTATGTTCATATAAAGATGGCTCTGTTATCTCACTTTTTTCTACTATCCTTGCTAAGTTTTACATTAAACTTGTAATAGTCTCTTAAAAGGAATTGAGAAGTGATTTCTCTTGATTCTATTTTCTGGTGGTATACCCTTATTAAATATTCAGAAAAATTCACCAGCAAAGCAAACTTGGTCTTGTGCTTTCTTTCTAGGAAGACTTTTAGTAACAGGTTCGTTTTCTTTAACAGTCATTAGACTCTTCTAGTTTTTTTTTTCCACATTTGTCAGTTTTGGTAAACTGTGATTTTCAAAGAATTTAGCCATTTCATTCCAACTGTCCAATTCATTGGCATGAAACAGTGTAATAGCTGTTTAAAAGTTATAAAACAGTATGAAACTTGATATGCTTTCTTTTTTTTTTTTTTTTTTTTTTTGGAGACGGAGTTTCGCTCTTTTTACCCAGGCTGGAGTGCAATGGCGCGATCTCGGCTCACCGCAACCTCCGCCTCCTGGGTTCAGGCAATTCTCCTGCCTCAGCCTCCTGAGTAGCTGGGATTACAGACACGCGCCACCATGCCCAGCTAATTTTTTGTAGTTTTAGTAGAGACGGGGTTTCACAGTGTTGACCAGGATGGTCTCGATCTCTTGACCTTGTGATCCACCCGCCTCGGCCTCCCAAAGTGCTGGGATTACAGGCTTGAGCCACCGCGCCCGGCCTGATATGCTTTCTTTCATTTATTTATTTTTCCTGATTCTTGTTCTTGTTCTTGTTATTATCCTAGAGCACAGCCTTTGGAGATATGGTTTCTTTTAAACAATGAAAATATAAGCTCTCTGAAGGCAGGGATTTTGGTCTGTATTGGTCACTGATTAAACCCCATCCTCCATGTGTAAAATACTGTCTGATATGTACTAGGCATTTATTAAATGCTCGTTGAATGAATGAATCAATAAACAATAGTATCACCTAGGTGTCAAGTGAGAACCTTTAATGTCAAATCAAAATTATCTTCAACCCTCATTACACGAACCAGACCATGTCCAGTAAACACACACCCTCAAGCACACAGTATTTAGAAATTCCCATGTGGCTTATATTTTCATAAATTTCTGGTTTTGAGCTTCTGCTTTAAGGAAAGTACCATGGCTAACTATTTCCTGATGCCTTTGTTTTGAAATAAATCAACCACAAAGGTACTCAGTCTTTTACTTTGCTTTCAGGAAATAACCACTCAGAAATGGTTCTACCGTATGGAACATGGCAAAAGACACAGTATAAAACAGTATGTTTTATACTGTGATGCACTGGCAAAAGACACAACTCTACACGAATATGAGGCAGTCTTGTTTTCAGCATCCTTACTCCGCTGCTTTTACTGTCAATTTTCCTCTCCCTTTCCCTCCTGTTTCCCCTAAAGTTATTTGCATTTCCAAAGCAGAACAGTTTACTTAGTTCATTTGCATTCTTGACTCATAAATGCTTTCAAGTTCCTAAGAAAAGTATACTCTTTAATGCTCAACAACGTTGTGGCTATAGAAAATAAGGAACAAGGAGAAAATGCAAGAAGGAAAAGCCAGGAGCGAAGAACAGTCTATGACCTCTGGACAGGAGAGCCAAGGCTTCTAGATTGGCTAATTAACAGCCTTCCTCCACTGCCAGGGCAGAGGATTCCTACTTTGCTTCCCATTGGCCTTGGTTAATTGCAGTAGAACAGTGCCTGCTGCATCCTCCCCATTTGTCTTTGCTTCATTGGAAGTTGCCATTGCGGATTCTCAGTTCCCATTGCACTCTTGTATATTGGGGTCTTCGGGAGCTGAGGATTTTTTGTGTTTATGGGACATTCACCACCAAGAAACATTTCCAGACTTGCTTGAATCTGAAAATCCAAAATAAATTCTGGGGATAGTGCCATTGGGAAAGACGAGACCACATTTTCTGTTTGGGGAGAAGAGTGTAGAAATGTTGAGTACCCAAAGGCGTAAGCTCCTGTGGAGACTGCCGGCTGCCTACCAAATATTCTTCCCTCTACTTTATTAACAAATGTGGGCAGCAATTCATTCAGCTAACATAATCCTTTCTCAGCCATCCTTCCAGCTAGATGTGAGTAAATTCTAAGCAGTAAGATGGAATAGTAGTATTACATCAGTACATAAGGAACTGCCTCATTATTTTATTAACTGAGTGTTTTGTGTTTATTTATTTATTTACTAAGACAGGGTTTAACTCTGTCACTCAGGCTGGATCCCAGTGGTACTAATCACGGCTCATTGCAGCCTTGATTTCCTGGTCTTAGGTGTTCTCCCACCTCAGCCTCCTGAGTAGCGAAACTGCAGGCTTGTGCCACCATGCCCAGCTAAATTTTGTTTTTTTTTTTTTTTTTTTTTTTTGAGATGGAGTTTCGCTTTTGTTACCCAGGCTGGAGTGCAATGGCGCGATCTCGGCTCACTGCAACCTCCGCCTCCTGGGTTCAAGCAATTCTCCTGCCTCAGCCTCCCGAGTAGCTGGGACTACAGGCGCGCGCCACCATGCCCAGCTAATTTTTGTATTTTTAGTAGAGACGGGGTTTCACCGTGTTGACCAGGACGGTCTCGATCTCTCAACCTCGTGATCCACCCGCCTCGGCCTCCCGAAGTGCTGGGATTACAGGCGTGAGCCACCGCGCCCAGCCTAATTTTGTATTTTTTGTAGAGATAGGTTTCCGCCAAGTCACCCAGGCTGGTCTCAAACTTCTGAGCTCAAGCAATCCTCCTGCCATGCCTTCCTAAAGTACTGAGATTATAGGTGTGAGCCACTGTGCCTGGCCTAGAGTTTATTTTTTAGAGCAGTTTTAGATTCACAGCAAATTGGGAAGAAAATACAGAGATTTCCCATAAACCCACGGCCCCCACACATTCACAGCCTCTCTCATTATCAACATACCCCACCAGAGTAATACATTTCTTACAGTTGATAAACCTACATAGATACATCGTTATTATCCAAAACCCATAGTTTACACTAGGGTTCATTCTTGGTGTTTTACATTCAGTGGGTGATATGGTTAAGCTTTGTGTCCCCACCCAGATCTCATCTTGAGTTGTAATCCCCATAATCCCCATGTGTCAAGGGAGAGACCAGGTGGAGGCAGGTGGAGGTAACTGAATTAGGGGGCAATTTCCCCATGCTGGTCTTGTAATAGTGAGTGAGTTCTCATGAGATCTGATAACCATTATAAGGGGCTCTTTGCCCTTCACTGGGCACATCTTCCTGCTGCCTTGTGAAGAAGATACCTTGCTTCCCCTTTGCCTTCTGACATGATTGTAAGCTTCCTGAGGCCTCCCCAGCCATGCTGAACTCTGAGCCAATTAAACGTTCTTTTATAAATTACCCAGTCTCAGGCAGCTCTTTATTGCAGTATGAAAACAGATTAATACAGTGGGTTTGGACAAAAGTATAATGACCTGTATTCACCATTACAGTATCATACAGACTCATTTCACTGCCCTAAAAATCCTCTGTGCTCTGCCTATTCACTGCTCCCTCCTCCCTATTCCCTGGAAACCACTGATGTTTTCCTTGTCTTCACAGTTTTTCCTGTTCCAGAATGTCATATAGTAGAAATCATGCAGTATGTAGCCTTTTACTATTGGCATCTCTTATTTAAAGTTTCCTCCATGTCTTTTCATAGACTGAGAGTTCATTCCTTTTTAGCATTGAATAATGCCCACTCTCTGGATGTACCATTATTTATTTATCCATTCACCTACTGAAAAACATCTTGGTTGCTTCCCAATTAGGCAATTATAAATAAAGCTGCTATAAACATCCATGTGCAGGTTTTTGTGTGGGTGGAAGTCTAAAACTGGTTTTGGTAAATGCCAAAGAACATGATTGCTGGATTGTATGGTAAGCATATGTTTACTTGCATAGGAAACCGCCAAACTCTCTTCCAAGGTGGCTGTACCATTTTGCATTCCCACCAATAATGAATAAGGATGGTCCTTGTCTTTGTCAGCATTTGGTTTTGTCAGTGTTCTGGATTTGGGCCATTTCTAATAGGTGTAGGGTGGTATCTCACTGTTTTAACTTGCATTTCCCTGATAATAGCTGATGCGGAGCACCCGCTCACACGTTAACCTGGCATCTGTATATCTTCTTTCTTGAGGTAACTGTTAAGGACTTGACCCATTTTTAAAAAGGGCTGTGTTCTTATTGTTGAGTTTTAAGAGTTCTTTACATATTTTGGATAACAGTCCTTTATCTGATACGTTTTTCACAAGACTCTCACACAGAGCAGATTTTTTTTTTTTTTTGAGACAGAGTCTCACTCTGTCACCCACATCAGAGTGCAGTGGTACCATCACGGCTCACAGCAGCCTCAACCTCATGGACTCAAGTGATCCCCAACTTCTTTCATTCTCTCAAGTAGTTAGGACCACAGTTGTGCATCATTATGCCCAGTTAATCACTTATTTTCTGTAGAGATGGGGGTCTCACTTTATTGCCCAAGCTGGTCTCAAATTCCTGGGCTCAAGCAGTCCTCCCACCTCAGTGTCCTAAAGTGCTGGGATTACATGCCCAGCTGGAAATTTTCAATTTTAGTAAGAACTGCCTTCTTGATACTTTCTTTCGTGGATTATGCCTTTTGTTTTGTAATTACAAAGTTACTGTCAAATCAAACGTCATCTAGATTTTCTCCTATGTTATCTTCTAGGTGTTTTATAGTTTTGTCTTTTACATTTAGGTCTGTGAGCCATTTTAAGTTAATTTTAGTGAAGCAGGTAAGGTCTAAATTTACTTTTTTTTTTTTTTTTTTTGAGACGGAGTTTCACTCTTGTTACCCAGGCTGGAGTGCAATGGCGCGATCTCGGCTCACCGCAACCTCCGCCTCCTGGGTTCAGGCAATTCTCCTGCCTCAGCCTCCTGAGTAGCTGGGATTACAGGCATGCGCCACCATGCCCAGCTAATTTTTTTGTATTTTTTTTAGTAGAGACGGGGTTTCACCATGTTGACCAGGATGGTCTCGATCTCTTGACCTCGTGATCCACCCGCCTCAGCCTCCCAAAGTGCTGGGATTACAGGCTTGAGCCACCGCGCCCGGCTAAATTTACTTTTTTGCACATGGATATCTAGTCATTCTGGTAACATTTGTTGGAAAGGCTATCTTTTCTCCATTGAATTGCCTTTGCTCCTTTGATA